ACCATCTCTATCATCCAATTGAATATGAATCCGATGGTTTGTATTCCCCCTCTCTTCATCTTCTTCTTCCTACCTAACACCGAACTCTGACAGCCGGGAAACCTAGCACTTCCCCGGAACTAGTGTGGGAAGAAAGGATGTCGCTTCTCTTCCACGCTCTTTTGAAGACAGACTCTCCTCAACATCTTCAACAATGAAGGTTTTGAGTCCTCTTTTTCCTCTCCTATCTTCAGAGAATTCCATCTTCTAGCCGACGGGAGGATCTCCGGCCAGATTCTGAATGAAAGAGGACCTCTCCAGCCACCACTTCCACACAATCAGGGATATGTCCACCACTTCGCACTTGCATCCTAACCCACTCACATGTTTCGAGTTTCGCCAGAGAGTCATCAGTCTCCAAAAATCCCCCACATCTATCCCCAATCGCCTTGATCACGCTCGAACACCAAAGGATTAAAGGAAGGCCGAAAATCCTAACCCAGGTTGAGTTGTCATGGATCGAGTCATTCTCCGCTTCTAGATAAAAACATCCGGCACTAGCCCCCCACCAGTCAAGAAAGAGTTGGTTTCCAAGGATCTAGCCTGCATCTTCCTTAGACAGAAGAATGAAAAGGAAGAGGTCATCCGCCATCTTCTTCACTTTCGCACCTCCCACCTCCCTCTAAACCCTCCTCACCCAGTCCCCAACTTCTTTCACTCCCACTCCCCACCGAAACCTCCCCACTAGGCATCCCCTAAGGAACTCTTTTCTCGCATCAACTTCTCGTTGTTCAGTGACTATGACCACACACCTGCTGCCACTACTCTGCTATAGGTAAGATTTTTCCTAGTTTTTGCCTCCAAACCTCCCCGACTATAGCAGTTCCCTGAGTCCCACCCCCTTCTCCCAGCCGAGGTTTTCTTTGGAAAATCTCTTCGAAACATTTTGCCACCACTTCCAGATCACCAATCTCCATCTAGGATCTTATCTCCAACTTCAGAGAGGATGAACATCGCTGATCAACACCATTCAGCACCACACGCTTCGTCGTCACCGCAAGCTTCGTCGTTCATTCATGATGAAAGTAAACTTTAACCGTACCTTCAATGTTTCCTATAAGTGAATCATCATTAAAGGATAGGTCTTCATCTGAATCTCCACAATCAATCTAATGTTTGTCCCCTTCAACTTCCTTCCAATCAGTCTTGGACCAGGAAAGCAAGGGTTAGGGCTTATCTCACTTAACCCACCGCTATTGAGACGAGTTCGCCCTTGAATGATTGTCAAAGATCAATGGAGACGATGATAGACTGACATTACCGTCTCCCGTCATTCCAACCTTGCTCCCACGCATGCCATTTAAGTTGTTACATGATGGCTTCCTATACACCAATCCAGCCACACGGTTCACCCCTGTTTCAAAATCTGGCCCTCCCTTCTTATCCCCTCTTCTTATTGCTTCCACATAGGATTTTCCTTCTCTTATTTCAGACGTTCAATGAAATTTAAAAACATTTGAACAGCCCCATTTTAAAGGAAAGATGGAGCCGAGAAAATTAGAATTTGACAATCCACCTTCCAAAGTAGGAAAGTGGACAGTCAACTTGGGATTTTTTAATTCTTTTAATCCACATGGCTGCCAACTAGACACATTACCATCATCTTCTTCCTCTCTCCGTCTCCCACAGCGACGATTCGACTTGGAGCACTAACCAATACTCTCCTCCATCACCCACTGGAAAGAAAACTCCACTGATCTTGGAATCCTTTCTGGCCTGGTACCAATAATTTTGATAATCGCCGTTTGAAGGGACGATGTGTTCACTGCTAACAGATGTCCACTGCAGAGCACTGCCACTTAAGAGAACACTTCTTCTTTCCACAAATTGAATAGGAGCCCTATCAACTTGATTTTTAGAACCTCTTCCTCCAGAACAACCTCATTACATGAAGGATTCCAATTCTCCAGAATCACCACCATCCTCTCGCGTGTCTCTAATCTGGTTACAACCTCAATATGGCAGCTCAAGTCAAGGAACAGCTGCTTTCTCCTCAAACGGAATCAGAATAACCTTTTCTACCGATGGGAGAGCCACCATTAAATCAAAAAGAACTCCATTCCAGTCTTGCACTTTCTTTTCTACCCTAATTACCTTTCTTCCTCTCCAATCCTCCAGGTTCCATCTAACACCAACTTCGAACACACGGTAGCTCCACTCAGGCCTTCAACCTTCTCTACCACTCCGCTCCATTTTGTAATTTAGAAGCTTGCTCAGGTACTGGAGTGTCCGGCATAGCAGTAGTGCTGTTCTCTTCCTTTTCCAGAAACCATGTCCTCTGTTCAAAGTCATCCAAGGSTCCTGCAAACATGACCCAACCTTGCTTACCTTTGCTTCTAGAATACACACCACCTGTTTCTCACCGTTTCCAAAGAGCTCACTTAGTTGAATGAAAGCTCCCCTATTGTTAATCTTCTTTTCCACTGTAAATCTTTTCYTTATCAARTCAAGTTCTGCTTTCCACCCAGATTCAGTGATGRCAAAAATTRTACCATCAATGAACCCTTTCAACCAGCTTATCGCCTCCCTGCTTAACACTACCATTGATCTTTTGTCTTCTCTGATTTTGATTGCTGAACCTCCACCAATTTCTTCCAATAATATCCTCTTTTTTTCAGACAAGCAGCTCCTTCCTCCACCCTGTCGTTGGCAAGAATCTCTTCTACATTTCTTCCTACAATTCTCCATCTCTTTCCGCTTTCAATCCCTTGTAACTTTAAATTATATAATGTGCAATATGAAAAAAAAATATTGAATTGGCCCAAGCTAGGTCGAGCTTGGCTTGGCTTTGGGCCTTAAACACAAAAGATTTCCCAATATGGCTGTAGACTAAAATGTCATCAAAAAACACAAAAGTATGAAGCAGCAAAAAGCCATTTTGTGCACATCTTTTACCAAGAATTCATAATGACTGGTCAAACTATATGGCATTACCAAGAATTCATAATGATTGCTGCGAGTGCAAAAAGCCATTTTGTGCACATCTTTTTGGTAGATATGGACCTGATAGTAGTCAAACATCAAGCCCAGTTCAGAAAAAATAGTCACTTCCCTTAACTCATCCAAAAGTTCCCCAATCCCTCTAAAGACATTTTGATAAAGTATCTACCATTCCATTTGTTCTTCTGCTCATCCATTTTAAAGACACATTTAACTCCCTTATTAAGCTCTCAATCCCCCTAAATTTATATTGAAAAACCCATGGGATTTGGGTACAGCATCTTGTCCAAGAAATGACTACCTAAAAATCCCCTTCCACTTCTAGATTCTGGAACCCAAATTGTTTGGCAAGTTTTAATCCCTGTGGTAAGCTTCCCATTTCTGCTGTTGGTGTGTCCCCATGCTCCAAAGGACCTGAATACAAGGACACCACTCTTCCTTCCGAATTCCTAAAGACTTCCCCTATTCCCGCCAATCCCACATCAACAATGAATCTTCCACCAAAGTTGAGCATTATGAAAGATGCCAAGGATTTCCAAATCATAATTTGCCTTTACTTTTCTTGAGCAGAGAGTGCCACCTCTTTCTAATTTCTCAATATATCATTTAGGGAGAAATTTTGGAAAGCCTCCATGGATTTTACCTAGTGCACCACCTTGATTTTAATTAAACTCAATAATCTCCCCCTCGGTTCTATTTTTGTCATTGAAGATTCTACCATTTCTTTCTTCCCAAATGGTTCAGACCACAGCTGCCCTCACTGTTTCCCACAAAAGACTTCCTCTTTTCTTTGAACCTTGAGCAAGCTGTCTACTAATGTGGCTTCCTTGAGTATATTTATTGAACAATAGCCTTTGCTCGAATAGGATCCACCTGCCCATTGTTAGTTGAGGCTCTAACAATTTCAAAGAAATATTGAAAAATTACAAGCCAACTAGCAGTTAAACACAAAACATTCATGCACCAGCCCCACTCATGCATATTTTGCCTTATTAACATTTTGATCAGCTTTCCTGATTTCCATAGTTCTTATAGGTTGGTTGTTCCAAACAAATATATCCCATGTGCATAAGTCCGTAATGTAAGAAATAGGAAGTAAACCATTCCTGGCCACCGCATGTTTTAGGACCTGACAAAAGGGGAAAACTTATGACAAGGAAAAAAAGTAGATCAATTTATCATCCACAGATGAATCAGGCACTGGTTTGCATGTAAGGACCAATACGTCAACACCCAAACACACTTGTGTTGGCCATCCAAAAATGGTTAGAAAGTCCAATTTCTTACTCCGATTGTTTCAAGTTACTTAAAAAGTAGAAAAAGGAATTTCAAAATGTATGCCATGTAGCCAACCACAGACAGTTGGGACAAGGCTTGGACAATTCTCATGATATGCATCAAACATTTTCATAGTCTTTAAACAACTTATCACCGTTGATCAGGTCAAAGAAGAATGTCATGATCAAATCTGCCATGTAATAAGAACTAAGTAGCACTACAAACTATTCTGTTGAAAGTTAGATCCCATTTTCAGATATTCAAACTGAAAAAAAAAAACGTAAAACATATAAGAAAATAGATATTCCTAAATTACCCAAATATCACTATACCAGGTTAATCCTAAAATCTAAAACTCTTAAAACATTTGGAATTCAGGCAACATATTTCGTTTTGGAAAAATTTCAAGATTAATTTTCACCCGAAGACCTTCAACTGAAAGCAAACACACACAAATGCAAGAACATTTCAACCCTTTTCCCAATATCAAAAATGAAAATTCCAGGCATAAATACCGCTACTAGTTTCCAAACAAAAACCTAATGCCAACCTACTGCAAACATGCCAGAGATGTTTGCGGTAACAATAATGGATTTCATTCCGTAGTTTTCTCAAATGAGTATCTCAATAATTGTTAAACTTATAACTATATAAATGGAGAAACAATTACTGGAAATCATAATCAAAGAGGTTATTTTTTCATACATGAAGAACTACGAAAAGACCACATCGTGCAGACTAACCTGCTTCAACTTTCCAGTGATCTCAATCATACGACCTTGAATCTCAAGAAACGCCTGTATCCAAAAACCCCAAAAAGAAAAGATAGAATTCTCTTAATACACCAAGCATTAACAACAATGATTCCAATAGTCTGTACAGAAAGGGACGGATATTGAACGAAAAGCAGAGAAGAGAAAATGACATTCTCTTACGGTTCTGTTTGTTTCATCGGCCATTTGAGTTGAGGCAAAACCTTCAGAGACAAAGAAAGATGAGCCCCACCAAAACCCTAAAATTTACAGAACGGAAATAGAGGACTGGGGGACGAAAGCGATGAAAGTTCAAACAAGGAGCTTGACGCTGTAGGAGAAATCGAGTGTTATACGAACGCAACGCGTCGGGGTGTTCAACCGTAGGTGTATTTTTGAAACCGAACCGATACTACCGGTTTCTGAAAAACCGAAATCGAATCAAAGCTGATCGGTTAATCGGTCGACCAGTTGTTAACCATTGGTTTATTTTATCGGTTTTTTGTTTTTTTATATTTATAGTATATATTATTAAAAAATATATAAATATTATATATAATATTATATTTTAAATAATAAATAATATATTATATATTAAATATAATGCAATATTTATTAATTTTGAGTAAATTATAATAGGTAACCAATACTTTGGGAATAGTGACAGATACGTATCTAAAATTTTAATTGTAATACTTGAGTACCCCCAAATTTCATGGTACCCATTTCAGATTTTTGAATTCAAAATTTAGAATGACATCTAAACTCAATTTTTTCAAACTTATGACAAGTTCTCACGCCAACTAAGCAACTTTGTTTTGCCTATGAGGTGGCATTCCAACGTGGATTTCAGGTCTCAATTTTCCTTATTTCTCTTTTAATTTCAAAATTATCCTTAATTTGTAAAGATTAAAATGACCCTACTTAAAAGACGGGTCAATTGTCATTGATCTTTCCCTCTCTCTCTCTCTCTCTCCCCCACAACTTTGAGGTCGTGCTCAACAAAAATAACTCCACACTATGGTTTTGCTCAATGCATTGAAGACAACTCTCTCTCTCTCTCTTATTGAACATCGGTGTGACTAATAGGTATTTGACAATTTCATTGTATCATTTTGTTTTAGTTGATCAAGAAATCCATTCAAATAAATTTGTTCTTGGGTTCTCCTTGCATGTCTATCGTACTAAATGGATTGTTGTTTTTATATAAAAAATTTAATTAAGTATAAGTGATGGCACATGAAATTAATTTGAGTTAACCTATCTTGATACACATTTACTAGTTTAGCGAAGTAAAAAAGATTTAATCGATTTCTAATAATGGGTGAGAAAAACCAATGGTGTTCCACCATAAATCATTAGTGAAACTGCACATAATATTATTGGTTACATATTAATCACTTTCTAACATTGGTCTTAAAAGTTTGAATGTCTAAATTGACAAGCAAGTAAATATTTACAAAGATGGATATGAGATTTTGGCCAAGTTCATTAGTATTAGTAATTCTCACTCATTTTAATTTCTTTTTGTAGCATAAAGATTTATTTTTTATTATATATAACGATGATTATTGTATACTCACATTGGCCTTAAATGCCTCATCATTTGCTATCTTAATAAATATTTCTTGAAGTGTAGGGCTAATTTTAATGATGAATTTACTTGAGAACCATGAATTTAGTAAAAATTTACCTAAATGGCCTTGAGAGGCTGAGTTAAGGATTAGACATGTAAAAATTATTTGCACCTTGCTTACCTTTACATATGATTCTTCACACCCTAAATGCCATATTCGTGAGCATTTACCTAATTGTTAAATTGATAAAGCTTACTAAATTCTATCTTTGTAAACATTTAGCATTAGCATTGCTTTACAATGAATTAGACAAGATCACAACAAATGTATTATTTGCACTTTGATCACCCTCCTACATTGGTCTTCAATGATCTAGTTGTTAAATTAGTAAAATTTTAATAAGATGGGATTAAGGAATTAATTTAAAATGTCATTCCATATGTGATTGAAAAATTGCACAATGCCCTCAAATATCTCCCTTGAAATATAATAAAATACTTCAGTCATAATTATGTCATTTCATTGACTTAGAAATAAAATATAACAAGGAAAAGAGAGAACTAAAGAATAACTTAATGGATCTACAAATGATTCATATATTATATGCTTATTACTTATTAATTATTTATGCTCAGTATTGCAATCATGGCATTACTTACCATGATTGCCAACCTTATAAAAATGTATAAAGATAGGTTTAAGTTGTCGGTTCATCTATTGGCAAGAAATTACACTTTTATCTACCTTTCATATTGCATGATGATAGTCTTTTGAACAACAATATAATAGTGTCAATTAATTTCAAGAAATATGGCACATAGCAACCATCATTAATGTTCAATATTGTTTTATAATGAATCAAATGTAAACTACACATAATAATGTGAATTACAATAATTCTATTAAATTCTCACATTGTCCTTAAATGTCATAACTTCCTAATTGATAAATTGTCATCAAAATGGGTGCAATTCATTGATTAAGTTCATTGATGAGGATATAACTATCCTCACTTAGATTTAATGATGCAACATCATGATTTGATTTGTCACATAATAATGTCAGTAATTGTATGCTCACCTACCATTGTATTAGCTTTATATCTCTTGATTACTATTTTAGTAAAAGTTTATCAAAATCGGTCTAAGTTATTAGTTAAATTGATTGAAAAAGACGTGACACCCTTCATGTTGCATAGTGATACTTATAAACAACAACACAATAGTGTTAGATCAGTCATGCTCTTACATTGTCTTTAAATGCCTTAACTACTAATCTGATAAACTTTACCAAGATGAGTGTGAGGCATTTCATTGATTATGGGATAACCATCTTTCACTTGGATTTAATGTTGCAACATTAAACTTTTATTTATGTTACATAACAATGCTAGTTATTGTATGCACACCCATTCTTGGGAAAAGTACGAACAAACCCATTTCAGATTTTTGAATTCCAGTCAAGTCGATGTAGATTAAAAAAAGACATCTAAGATAATTTTTTTTTAAAACTTGGGATAGATTCCCACCCCAACTAAATATTTTTACTATGTTTATTAGGTGAAAGTCCAATATGGATTCCATGTCATATTCCCACCCCAGCTAAGTTAATTTTTTTTCTCCTCCTTCTCTTCTTTCCTCCCTCCCTCCATCTCTCTCTTTCTCTGCTTAAAAAAAAAAGGGCCCATCTATCATGAGCTACACATCTTCTTCTCTCTCTTTGCATTCAATGTATCATGAGGTGCACACATTTCTTGAATTAGGTGCTCTCTCATGTTCACTTCATTTCTCTCTCATTCTCAAACCAGGTGGGTGCAACATCTGAATAAACAAATAGAAGTTTAGTGCAATGAAGACTTGAAGAGGGTGACAATAAATCAGATGCTTCAATACAATTATTTTGCAAGATTTATTTTAAGGTAATGTTCTTTGAGATAGCATTAAATTTGTTTGTTTTAATTTAAATAATCAAATGCAAGTAGGCATTTAAACTAAATTATATCCTAAAGAAATGAAGGGAATGATGATAAAGTTTTTCCTTTTCCAATTTCTAAATGTATCTATCATAGAAATCTTATTTGAAAACAATGCAAAAGATGAAATGCAGAGTAGCGTGATCTTTTTTCTTTATGAGGATTTTTTTTTTGTTCTTTCTATGTGAACCTTTTTCTTTATGATTAAATTATGATTCAAGCATATATATTGTAATGATTAATGATTCACATCCCTACAACCATCATTACATTGTCCAATAGATGTTTAAGCATCATAATCAACACATTTTATAGTGTACTATGAAATGTGTCATATTTATATGACTGTAGTTCTTGCAATGTGAACTAGAGCACTTTGGAATTCAATGGACTCTTAGCCACTTCTTGAATGTATATTTAAAGTTGGGGTAGATTGTAGGAGTTAGGGGAGATTTTATTTTATTTTATTCTTTTCCATCATATTATTTTGTACATGTTTTGATAAAAACTGATGGAGTGTGGGTGTCATTTCTTGCACTTTTAAAACCCTTTTAGTATTGTTTTGTTCTGTTATACACTAGCTAGTACGTTATAGGCATGGTCTTAAGGTTTTCTTTTTTCTCAATGATTTCATGGTGGTGAAATGAATGATGGTGCAGTCTTCATTTGGGTTTCAGAAAAGGAACTGAAGGAAAGGTTATGATCTATCATATAGATAGCCGAATCATGCTAGATGGCTGGGCGAAATTTTAAAAACTTTGTTATCCTTCTAGGAATTCAATTCTCTATGTTTCGAAAACTGCATTTTTCTTGGATTGGTCTTAAACTGAATTGGACCAGATTTGAAATCAAACAAAATGGGAGATGTATACCTGATACGAATACCACGAATGCATATCCTAAGGTGGAAGTTCACGTCCAAATCAGTCCTAAAACCAACCTCCACTGAAGATGGCATAGTGTACTCTTGAAGCCAGTTCAACAATGCAGTTTTTAGCAAAATTGCAATCCAACTGGTTGGATCGAACTGGGGAGGCACGGAATTTCTCTAAATTTTTCTTGCAAAAGTTAGAGAGAAAACTGATCTCTATCAATCCCAAAAGTCATGGTCGAACTAGGGGTTCTTGGAAGACAAAAGAAGAAGAGAGAACATAATTGAGAGGTGTTATTGATCAGTTTGCCCTCTTCTTCGTTTATTTCTTTATGGAACACTTCTAATCAAATTAGGAGATTATCCAAATCTAATTTTGATCTGGATTGTATTAAGAGATAAGCCTTATCCTCTTAAGAGGATAGGTGCTACATACCCACTTCCAAACCCATATTCGCCCCATGTCACATGGCAACAGTTATCTTGGAACATCTTAATTAATCATATTAATTATAGGCTTTAGGTCCATCAGCTAGAAGGCTCACGACCCAAGGGTTTGCTTGGCCAAGTTAGGCCTGATTTGTGTGGCGTGGAACCCCACAATGACCTCACATAAGTCCACATGGGTTCGGCCCAGTCTCCGTGAAAAGGTCTAGCCGAATTCACTATTTAATGTAGTGAACCCCTGAGCACATCACTATGGAATCAAAATGGGCCCAACATTTACACTTAAATAATCCTTGAATTCAACCATCCTATGAAGACTCAAGGATAATAGACTTAGGTAAGATAAAGCCATCAGGTAATTAGCCCTGTAATGGTCTCTTACACTTAACCTCTCGGTCCATAATGATTAAACACTGCCTGACAGGGAAAGACCTCTCCCCTAGCTGCAAGGTGTAGTGTCATACTCTCTGCTCGAATGGATC